CATTTTTTTGTCCGCCATTTTTTTTTGTCCGCCATTTTTTCCCCCTTTTCCGGCGGGTGCCTTACCTCCCTTGGGCTGGGCCAGCTGGTGGTCGGCCTGCTCCGTCTCTGCCGCTTGCCAGCTACGCCTCGGCCGGCGCAGGGGGCGGAACCACGCATGCGCGGCGCTCCCGGGCAGGGAAAGTCCTCGACTTACGACCAGTCAGGTAGTCCTCGACTTACGACCGGTTTAGTCCTCGACTTACGACCGGTTTAGTCCTCGACTTACGACCGGTTTAGTCCTCGACTTACGACCGGTTGGGGTCACGGCATTAAAAAGGTTGAGAACCACTGGTTTAACTGCTTATCTAATTCGGGCTTCTGTTCAGCTGCGTCTAACAGATTGGCCAGTATTTGTTTTTTTAAAAAAATTACAATTCGGGAAAATTCAGTCATCAGGCGATGGGTGACCTGTTGCTTTGCTTGGCTTTCGCAGGGGGAAAATACAGCTTCATTTTTTTCCTTTTTTTTTTTTCCTCAAAATTTCATCGGCTCTTTCAACGTTGGTCTTTTCAGATGGTCGTTTGGGGTGCTGCTATGGGAGATCTTCACTCTGGGAGGGTCCCCCTACCCAGGAATCCCCGTTGAGGAGCTTTTCAAACTCTTGAAGGAAGGCCACCGTATGGACAAGCCAGCAAACTGTACCCCAGATTTGTAAGTTTTCTACCTGAAAAATTCATACTTTGGGGAAGGAGGGCTTTCCATCTGTCTGGGTGGATTCTTGTTAATTCAGTTGCTTCACATCCATATTTTCTGTTCATAATTTCCTTCCTTCCTTCCTTCCTTCCTCAAAGTGACAATCTGGACTCCTTCTTTCCTTCCTTCCTTCCTTCCTTCCTTCCTTCCTTCCTTCCTTCCTTCCTTCCTTCCTTCCTTCCTTCCTTCCTTCCTCTGCCCATTAAAACTGCCAAAGATTTTCGGTCAAGTTTCTAGGCAGCCTGTAGACCAGGCGTAGTCAACCTTGGCTCTTTTATGACTCGTGGACTGGCTCAGGAATTCTGGCAGTTGAAGTCCACCAGGCATGAGGGGGCCAAAGTTTCCCCCATGCTGGCTCAGGAATTCTGGGAGTTGAAGTCCACGAGTCATAAAAGAGCCAAGGTTGACTACCCCTGCTGTAAACCCATCCGATATTCTGTGTAGAAACGTGGCAGCATCTTCACCAGTCCTTAAGTTGCCTTTCCTCAGGGGTTAAAGACCACGCTTCGGGACAGCCGTAGGCCATACCTTTCCTCCGTGGGACGTCAATAATTACAGAGCTGGAGGTATTTCTGGAAGATCCTCTTGATCAGCTCCAAGCTCACACTGTTGCCTAGGGTGTAGCCCTAAAAGACCTTGGGGCCAATCCCTCCTTCTCAGCCCCAGTGGCAGTGTGGAATAATGGGTGAATGGTAAGCTAAGATTCACATTCACCCGGAAGTGAAACACACTCTCTCCCTCTCTTCTTCCCTCTCGCCCTCTCTCCTTCCTCTCCTCTCCTCCCCTCTCCTCTCCCCCTCTCTCCTTCCTTCTCCCCTCCCTCCCTCTCCCCCTTTCCCTCCCTCTCTCCCTCTCTCCTTCCCTTCCCCATTCCTTCCCTCTCCC